CAGTAAAGCTCATGTTATCGTTCGTTGTTTCTTCTTTTTTTCTAAAAAAAAAAGTATATCCAGATAAAAGTCTTGAGAAAAAAATGTGTTCAAGAATAATTAAATTCTTTTTCGACCAAAAATGTTTCACTCTTTCAAACAAGAGGTCGTCTACTTATCAAACCAAGTTGAAATGTGCGTAAAAGCAAGAAAGATCCAAGGCACTGCGAACTTGTGCTAAAAACTTTTAGGCTTTCGCAAAGCTTTCAAAGACACGCAACAATTTTGTACTTCACCAGGACGCATCTGCACGTACAGTGCAACCGAAGTAACACTTCGCCACTGCAAGTGCAAGAAGAATATAACTGTACCTAACTGCAACTCTTTACAAAATAAGCAAGTTGCTGAAGAAACCATTGCCCAGGCAAAAGACTTTTGCCAACTTTTAACATGAAAGTCCCGACCAAATGCAATTCACTGAATTACGCCGCTTTGGCTGCCAACGCATAGCCCCAGCTCCAACTGCAGCGCCAGCGCGAGCTTGACTAAAGCTGACAGCCAAAAATCTAAGTCGCAAGCGCCAGCAGGCTGTCTTGCTGTCCTGTTGTCCTGCTGCCTTCTGCCTGCACATAACTATCTCGGCTCGCGCACTTTTGCTTCGGCATTTCTCGCCTTTTTTGTGAAAACTCTCTTTCTTTATTTGTTGTTTTTGTTGTTGTTTTTCTCTGCTTTTGCGTGTAAACTTTTGTTTGAATTTGTTTGCAACTTTACACACCAGCAAGTTGCACTTGCAGCAGTCTAAAACTAACAGCAGCAACAATAACAATGATAACAACAACAGCGGGAGCGGCAGCGGCAGCAAGTCGATGACTATTATTGCAATGGCAAGGAATAACAATGGGTGTAAAGTAACCAACAGCAAAAGTAAAAGAAAACGAAAACGGTTCAATTGCAACAACTCTTACAACAATGACAACAGCAACAACAATACCAAATGGCTTACGTAAATGTGTAAGCAAGCGCATAACAGGCGCGTTAACTGTAACGTTGGCGGCGCTGACAATAAGAACATGACAGCGAAAATTAAATTGCAACGAAATTACTTGCAGGCAACAAAATAAACGGTACATGTTGCAATAACAACAACAAACATACATATTGCGTACACAACCGCCGTCTTCAATAAAAATGTCGTTTATAAAGCCATGAAATCCAAGACTTTTCTTATTAATATTTCTTACCATCAAACAAATAGTCGTTGCACTCGCGACTTGACTGCCAAGTCACTGTGGGACAGTCATAACTTCGAAGTCGTAGGTAATTTCGTCTATCCTGTAACCAGTATTAGCAACAACAACAATGTCAGCCTCCAGAAATAAGAATAACTCTTTCTAACAGGTACTACTTCGGACTGAATAAGTAATTAGTAAAGTACTCTCTCGAACAAAGACCAAACTCTACAAGTCACTCATCTTTGAAGTCCTGCTATATTGTGCAAAGGCATGGACGATAACAACATCCGATGAGACGACGTTACAGGTTTTGGGGAGAAAAGTTCTACGGAAGAAGTTATGGTCCCTTATGCAGTGTCCACGGCAAATATTTCGTTCGATGGAACGCTGAGCTGTATGAAGTATAATACGGCATTGACATAGTGCAGCGAATTAAGAGACAGCGGCTACGCTGGCTAGGTCATGCCCTCCGAATGGATGAAGACACTCCAGCTCTGACAGTACTCGACGCAGTTCCCGCCGAGTGAAGTAGAGTAAGAGGGAGGCCTTCACTCCGTTTGAAAGACCATGAGGAAAAGGACCTCGCTACACCTGGAATCTACAATTGGCGCCAAATAACGAAAAATAAGAACGGCTATTATAAACTCGGCTATAACCATGTAAGCGGTGTTTACAGCAATAAAGATTTTTGGGTGTACAAATAGGCTTAAAATTGCTTTCAAAGAACGTATTATTGTAATTTTTAACTGGTTCGGAGATACAGTGCTGAGTTCCATCACATTTTCTCTTGGAAAAACCTTTCACTATTAAAATAGCATATTGAGATTAGAGAGAATCAGCAACCATTAAAGTAAGCTACTTCTCTTCTTTATCTTCTTCTAAATACTAATATTGGTAGTGTCTTCTTTGGATCTCACGAAGTGTATTTCTCTATAATTTTATGGCAAAATTGAGTACTTCTATCTAGTATTTGTGCGTGCTCAGCAACCTGCGAACAGTAATCCAACATATCGTTATAGAAATATGTAAATATATCTGAAAGGAAAAAAAAATTCCTAATAATGTCAAGAAAAGCTTATGACAAAGGCAAACTGTTGGTTTTCAGATCTTTAACCAAAAGTACAAAGTAATCCATGATTAATTCCGCAAAAATCGCGTTCTCTTGCTAAAATTTTATACGTTCTCCTACAATACTACAATAAGTGCACTTAAGCACTTTTTGCTGTTCGCTGGAGCCGACGAAAACCATTCGCGCTCGAAGTAAACACTAAATATAATATTTCTGAATGTCTTTTTTTATTGCTATTGTCGTAGCTGCTTACTATCTCTTCTGCCAGCTTGCTATGTTTTTATCGAACTCATTTTGCCGAAAGCCATAGCGCACACACGCACAGACACTCGTGTGTAAGCAAGACCACACATGCACTTTTATTTTGATTTCTATTTACATTGTTTATTTACTGGAGTAATTTTTCAATTTCTTCGTTCAATATTGTTTTCATTGTGAGTTGTTTGATTTTCGCAATTCTGCTTCTTCGTTTTTCCTCCTCTGCCTGTTTTTTTGTTTTTCTTCGATCGAATTTCACTTTGTATTTTTTCTCGCGCGATGAACTATTGTGTGGCATTATTTGCTTTTAAGAGAAAATTGCAATTTCAAGCTACAACCTAAGCACACAATCGCACATACATACATATGTACATGGGTGGGTGTGTTTGTATGTGCAAATGTGTGAGTGCTAAGTGAAAATGGCAGATAAGGCAAGAAAGCTAGTGAGTTCTTACAATACATGTACTCCTATATTGTAAATGAATTGTGGGTTCTTGTGTAATGAACGTACAATATAACTGTAAATGTAACGGTTTACACGCAATAACAACGAAATTACGCTAATGTGCAGACTTATTGATAAATTGAATGTTCAATAAAATCCGTTTGGGGAAAATTTTAGGTATTGAATTTTTACAGCAACCCTAGTTATTGCTTTTATAATATTAAGAAAAGAATATTTTGTGTAGATTTCTCTAACCCAAAAACACAAATAAAGATCTGAATATTAACATTGACAAGTTGTGCTGAGTTCGACTTTGCTTATGATAGTCATGAGTTCTACTAAATCAAAATAAAAGCATAAACGTTGTCGGTCTCATTTCGTGTCTGATGGTGAAGTATCTGTATGCTGTTTCTAGCGTAGACAGACACTCCTTGAATAGCTGAGAGCGAATGATTAGCGAGCTCAGCGCCAGTAGTGCCGCTCTGCTGTCGGAGTGAAATCCCACCTCACTGAAAAAGACTGCAGTTCATAGCAGCACGTCCACCTCCACTTCTGCTTGAAAAACACTACAATGGTCCGGTAGCATAAAGCTGAGATTGACGGAGACCCGAAAAGCTCTCTCTCCTTCCCTCCTTGGCTCGATCAAATTGTGAAAAGGTTCTGTCGGCCTTTTCTCCGGCGAATCCTTCCCATTCCAATATTCTCCTTCAGTACGTGAGCAGAGAAAAACCAACACAAAAGCCTTTGAGACGAAGTGATACAAGTTTTCTGGAGTACAGTAGAAGGAGCAGCGAATTTCGGCGTATCCTTCTTCGGATCTCCTCATATCTCAGCTGTCCTGAGCCTTACAGCGCACTTCGCAGCAAGACACCTGCCGTCATTAACCACGAGTGCTATGTGTATAATTGCATTAAGTTCTGGTTTCTGGTATAATCCTCAGTGGACTTCAGATGTATATGAGAGCCACGCTGAGGATATTTTCAAACTTCTTAGCAAGTGTAGCCTTTTCAAGCGCCTCCATCAGTCGAATTCACTATATAGAATATTATTACTATTATTAGCTTAACTAGGTTTTTTTGACTTTGCTGCTATTAAACTTGACTTTGGTGATGCTCTCCTTACTTTCTCCTCAATAGCTGATCTCGTTGAAAGCTTTTTATCAAGGATGAGCCTTAGGTTGGCACCTTATCAACAAACTGAAGACTTGAGCCTTCGAATGAGGGAAGAGTCACATCTGGGTTCTTATACCACCTGGTAAAGAAAATCGGTTCAGTTTGTGTTGACAGCTAAGCCGCTTCAATTCACCTACTTGGATATCATGTTGAGTTAACCTTAAATTAGGTCATAGATTTAACCGTAAGAACAACGTCTTCAGCGTTCTTCGAGATTTCTAAGTTGGTCGTTAGCCACCAAAATCCAAAACTATAGAAAAGCACCCCTACCTGCGGGGTGCCATGTTGACCTTTCGAGATGCCTTTGCACTACCCAACTCCGTTAAGACCATTATATCACAAAGAAATCGATATATGAGGTGCAATTTCACGGCAAGCTTTTCGAGAACTTTAACCACCGCCTTGTTGAAGGCCTACAAATGTGTCTACAGCAGATTCCTGGTACAATGGTCATAAGGCCTCCTCCAGCCATGGCATTACATTAAGCAATGCAGTGTTGACCGCCTAGCCTTTGCTGTAGGCATGCTGGGTATTAAGAAGCTTACCCAACGCTCTTAATGTACATATCTATGGGTTTCTCCAACGTTTTCAAAAAATAAAACGAGGATAGACTAATGGGACTGAAATCTTTAACACCGACGTGAGAGCTCTTTCGGGTCTTAGGCATAAATGATATTTTAACCAGTCTCCAGACCTTTAACCTAAACTGAAGAAGTCCGAGGGTCGAGTGTATATGACTAACAATTACTGCTAAATTTCGGAGCAGGTAGTTCATTAAAAATTCACTAGTATAAGTTAATTTGGGCTATAAGTTAATTTGGGCTCTCAGCATACTGGTAACTCACCTCAATTTAAGCGCCTACGTTTCCCAACCGAACTCTGCAAATAAAGAGGAAAGAAAATAAATAGTTTTATGTGTAAAACAGATATTTTTCAACACTTAATGTGCTATAACTTAACTTTATATAACTAATTATAAAATATTGCCAAATATTGCTGCCTTATTTTAAAAAGCAAGCGTGTACGAAGTAGAGTAGTTGATTAACCTGAACGAAAACAATTTTCCACTCCGTTAATTGAATTTTTCTCACACAACTCATAGCTACTTTTCTTCTTTTCTGTTTTTGTGTACAACAGGAATCAATTGCGAGGAAAACGTCGATGAATGCATGTCGAACCCGTGTCAAAATGGTGGACATTGCCGTGACCGGAACAATGGCTACACCTGCACCTGTCAGCCCGGCTACTTGGGCATCAATTGTGAAATCGATGTGGCTGTCTGCGAGACGGGTAAGTACGAGCGAGGCCAAACGAGCGCACGTGCATGTCAAAAAACATAAAATTCAATTTTATTATCAAACCAAAATTCATACACACTCACACGCTCGCGCGCTTTTTACTTTCAATGAACCCGCGCGACCTATACACCAACTAATGTACGCTTCACATTCAATCAACATTATCACTCATTCACCATACTCACACATACAATCTCTGTCACATTGCAGGAACCGGCGCGCGTTGCCAGAATGGCGGCGAATGTATTGAAGGACCTGGCCTGGAGTTCTCTTGCGAATGTACTGCCGGCTGGCATGGACGCATCTGTCAGGAAGAGATCAACGAGTGCGAATCGGCGCCGTGTCAGAATGGCGGTGTGTGCGTGGATAAGCTGGCATCGTATGTGTGTGCCTGTCCGATGGGCTATACGGGGAACAATTGCGAGGAGGAGATACTCATTTGTGCGGACAATCCGTGTCAGAACAATGCGCTCTGCCTGATGGAGGAGGGCATACCGACCTGCTATTGTGTGCCCGACTATCATGGCGAAAAGTGCGAGTATCAATATGATGAGTGTCAATTGGGACCGCGTTGTATGAACGGTGGTGTTTGTATTGACGGTGTTGACACGTTTTCATGCTCATGTCCACCGCTGTTGACGGGCATGCTCTGCGAGTGTCTAATGATTGGCGAGGATTCGTTAGATTGCAATTATACGGTGAGCATATCAACACTGCCACCGACAACAATAATACGACCAATTACACCGACGGCTGCTGCACCTGTAACGACGACAATGACAGCGGAAGTGACACCGCATGTGTCCGCTGCACCGGTGGTGACAACAACAACAGCAGCACCAGGTGGCGCAGTATCAGTGTCCACCTCCGCAGAGACCGAAGAAACGGAGAAAGAGGCTGGTGCGGGTGTTGGCATAGAAAAAGCCAAACCACCGCCTGAGACCGCCACTACAGCAGGCAGCGCCATATCCGCTTCATCGGAGGAAAAGCCGCATACCACGGAAGCATCACGTTCGTACACAGCTGAGTCGGGTAGTAGCGTTGAGTCGTCCTACTCGTCCGAAGGTAGTGCGTCGGTGGAGGGCGGTACATCCGATGAGTATACGACGCCCTCGCATGTAGATGCTAGCAGCGCTGAGGAAGATGTGCCCACAACGGCTAAAACAACAATAAGTGCCGCAGGCTCAGACTATACGCCTGGCTCATCTGCTGTTTCAAAAAGTGCGGAATCGGATGAAGGTCCAGCCATCACTTATTCCACACGTCCACCATTCAAGCACTATGTTACCACCATCGAGACCACATTCTCCATTGATTACACTACTGCAAGACCCACCTCTTTTCGGCCCACACCTACGATATTCTTCCCAAGCAGCACAGCGCATGTATTACCAGACCTGCCTGGCAAACACATTCACACCGAGTACCCTGAGTATCCGGATCAAGATGTGACCTCGCCACATCGTATAACCACTACGGTGGCGCCATTCTTTACCGAATACCCCGAAGTTGCGGTCACCACACGTTACAAAGACTTTACCAGCAAAGACTTGAGTATGATAACAACCGGACGACCAACAACATATCCCTCAACACCGCCATCCTTGACATCCACCATTGTGCGTATTGGCAGCACTTTGCACCCACAGGCCGGTGGCGAAATTGTGCCGTCAACTGCGACACCGACAACCGGTGTGCCCGCAGAACGACCAGACGCGCATCATCATCATCATCACCATCACCACCATCACCACAGCACACATGCGCCGCCAACCGCCGCTGAGGAATATACACAACCACCACAAACCACACAGACGCACATCTATCCGCACGTGACGACGCATACCACCGAGCATACGCACTATCACACCACACATCGACATCATTATGAAGGTGCGCCAACCACTTTGTCAGCGCCATTGCCAACGACTGCCGAAGTTACCACAACACAACCACTCTATACCGACGATTTGGTTAGCCACACCACAAAGCCACGCCCAGCTGCAACGCCGACAGTGTCAGTGCCGATACCAACAACACTTGCGTCCGAGTCAGAATCTGCGGAAACTACACAGCCACCGCAACCACCACCAATCATAACGCCAACAGAACCATCAATACCCGCCGCGCCATTACCAATAACAACGCTGCCGCCACCACCATTACCGCCGTCAACGGCAACACCAACCGTGGTGGCCACATATCCGCCACCGACGGAACTGGCGCCTGCTCCTGGCACACCCGCACCGGCGCCAACCACCACCGTGCCGATCTACAGCACCTATGCGCCGCCAAGCAGCAAACCCGTCACCACGACAGCGGCCAGCAGTGAGGAAGTGGAGAGCGCCAATACGGTGGCCACGGACGTTGAAACGGGCATAGCACGCGGCGGCGCGACGCCTGTTGGTGGCGCTGCTGGCGTTGATAATACCACCGAAGTGGATTGCATAAAAATGGGCTGCTATAATGGCGGCACTTGTGTCACGACATCGGAGGGTTCACGGGTAAGTAATTGGAAAAAGCATATGCATCTGTGTAGTTAATAGCCTAAAACACATTAACGGTCTGCTGAAGTGATGAATGCCATTACAGGCGGCAACTGCGTCAGGTTATTACTTTGTAGGTTGAGAATTAGCGCATATGTCGAAAGGTACGAAGCTGCCGCGCGGTATTGGCTTATTACGCATACTTAATGCTTGTAGGTTGGTTTGTATTGCAGCTTTGATGCTCGCCTTTGTAAATATTTAAATTGAGCCAACTTCGCTTGGAACAAAATCAAATCACAGTTAAACGCATTAGGATTTATCATCAACCATCAACCCTTGAAGAGGTTGTTTATATATAGGTTCCATAAGTGTATATTAGGGTGGCTCAGAAATTCCAATTTTTTTGCTTGATTTTCTGAAAAGCAAGTTCTTACACACCTCTAAGAAAGTTTCTTATACCGAGGACTTGTATTTTATTAATTGTACTTTTATTAAGGTGGGTCAGAAATTCCGACTTTTTTTCGGATAATTCCCTGAAAAATATGTGTTTAGATACATCTCAGAAAGCCTCTTGTATCGGCAAATTAGATTGTATAAATAGAATTTTTATTAGGGTGGGTCAAAATCTCGAATTTGTTTTTCTGCTTGATTCTCGGAAAAGATTATTTTTAGACACTTCTAAGAAAGTCTTTTGTATCGAGAAATTGTATTGCATAAGTAACATTTTTATTAGGGTGGGTCAAAAAACTCAATTTTTTCGCAAGATGCTCTTTCAGAGGTATGTTTAAAGACGTCTTTAGAAAAGTCTCTGCAAGTGTGAACTTTTAATCACATCGGGAAAGTCCCTCCTCGTACAGTTTACATATTTTTTCTCCTTATTACAGAAAAATTCAAATCTCGTATCCAACTATTTGAAAACATATCTCGTTTCATAAATTCTGAAGCTTTTAATTTGCAGATAAGGTATAATTAACGCCTTGTGCTGTAGTTGTCCAAAATATAGAGAAAGTAAGCGGGAAGTCTAGTTCCAAGTTTCTGTCGCACAGATAATATAATTCATACAAGTATAATACCTGTGATACCAGTCAAAGTTTGATAAAAAAGTATCAAGGAACTGGCAATAGAATTACCTCTCCGAAGAGCAGCTTCTTTCAGCATTGAGCCTTTACTTTGATAGCAAACCTGAACCGCTCACATCGGCATGTGAGGAAGTGGCATGGGAACAAGTTGGATCCTAGTTCTCATTTCGCGTTCTAGCACTGAGTCTATGGACCTCGCATGGCTTTAGCAAGCATTGGTTGACGACCAGCCTCTGACCGACTTTTGTCATTATAAGCGGCTCCATTTCGTGCTTTTAAATCGATGATGTGGGGGTATGTGTCGATCCTCTTTCACGAGTCTTTTCCGAGATTTGGTACGTGGTAAATATCTGGTCAGTTGCTGATTTTCCAGGTCTAAAGCCACACTGATAAGGTCCAATCAGTTTGTTGACGGTAGGCTTTAATCTTTCATATTGAGAAGGGTAATCTCACGCTAGTTGGCGCAAATTGTGGGATCTCCCTTTATGCGGATTGAGCAGAACACTCTTAAATTCCATTCGTCGGGCATGCTTTCGTCCAAACATATTCCACAATGACGCTGATGCGAGCTCCTTATTAAGTTTAGCCGTATATAAATATATATGATAACTGAATGAAATTTTATATGGAAGTTGTATTAGCCTTTATGCTACTTGAAACAAATGAGCGGATGATATCACGTTAAATCTCCCCCAAAATCTCCTGTACAAAGGATGATTGACACTTCACATTCATCTCTTTATCTCTTTAATTACGTTAAATATAGAATTTCGTACTTGCTTTAATTAATTGAATACAAATTGAATAATATGCCAAATATAGCTCTCGACAGCAATTTGTTGATAGCAATATTTATTTTTCATTTTTTTTTTTTTTTTTTGCTTGCACAGACAACTAAAATTTGTACACATGTACAACAACACACATAACAACTTGTTGATGTGAGGCGCAATGGTGTTGCTTCAAAACGTCGTCATTAATAACAAGTATACGTGCATTTAGTGAAAAGCCTCGTCAATGCATTTGTAAAATCCTTGTCAATCGAAATTAATTCTTTTGTTATGAGTCAATAAAAACTTCAGTGACAGTTATTCAATCAATTATGGTCACCACACCATTAGCAATACATTTAAATCTCATTCATAATTAATTTGCAAATAAATTAATAAAAAGCTGTCGTTGATTTTTTAATTGTTTACTGTTTTGGATTTCTGCCACTGAATAAAACATTAATTAAATTATCATATATTATGCACAAAATTGATATTCTAGCCGAAAGTGCAACTCAATATTTTACGCTTCAGCATGTAAACAAAATTGTAACCGCAGGAAATGTTCAAATTTGCTTCAGTTAATTTTCATCAACATTTACTGCATCAAATTTGTCAATGTAAATATTTTAAAAATATTTCATTCGAAGAAAATATAATTATTTTACTATAACAGAGAAATGTGGCAAATCAGGTTTTTATGAAGAGTAGCTTTATTGAAAATCTCTCCAAAAAGTTCAAACTAATGGATCAAAGTGAAGTGCTTGTATGGATAAATTTTATATTTGGAAAGATATCTTAACGAAATCATGCACGGGTGACTGAAAACGGCATTGTTATGATATCCGAATATGCCATGCAAACTGAGCGATCAAAATTAAAACTTTGTATGAAAAATTTTCGTATTTGACAAGGTATAGTCACAAAAGTTGGCATGGATTACAAACCTAGCTAACGCTATAATCTCTGAAGAAATTGTCTAGATGGGCTTACTATAGCATATGGCTGTCACACAAACTGAGTGTTCAAAAATATGCTCTTGTAAGGAAAACTTCTTTATTTGGCGAAATATCTGTATAAAATTTGGCATAGATTATTGCTTGGAGGAGCACTACAACCTTTCGACATAGTTTTCTGATCGGATCGGTGTAGTATGTAGCTGCCATATAAATTCACCGAACAAAAGTATGTCTTTGTATGGAAAACTTTTCTATTTAACAAGATATCTTTATTAGATTTCGTACAAGTTATTTTGGAAGGCAGCGCTATAATCTGCACAGATATTTGCAGATCGGACCCCTATAACATATAGCTGACATACAAACTGTATGATCAAAAAAAATATATAAACCTTTTTATACCCCTTATAGTATAAGATGTGCAGCTATGAAGGATATTAAGATGTCGCTGCTGCTGAAAATAAGTATTTCTCTTGTTTTTTGTAAAATTTGAAATTATTACGAAGTATTCATTGAACAAGAGATAATTCGCAAGAGGGTTGCGTATACGCCGTGTAGTTCGATCATTCACCTGTGAATTAGCGCCTACTGTCACAAAAATTAAATATATGTGCATACATATATACAAATGGTCAATTTAAGAGAAAGAATATTATATTAAAAAATAAACAAATTTTTACCGTTATAGAATTACTTATTTAACACATAAGACTACGAAACGCATATTGCATTTCTCAGCCACATACAAATATAAATGCAAAAATCAATCCGTGACCACTTGTTTATTATTTTTATTACAGCAGAAAATGTTAAATCAAAATATTTACCATTTATTGAAACTCAATTGGCTTTAAACCACCACAACGTCGCCTTTGATAATTTCAAATTTTCTGCTTCAATTCACAAGCAACACAATATGGTGGTGTTGCCAATTAACATGCGCAATTTTACTTTAGAACTTAACGGTAAACTTAACACTATATACAACTACAGCGCCAATACATGTGGCACTGTAACGGTATACGTCCGCAAACTACCTTTGAAGAGCTGATTTGCATTGAACGGTTGTTTACACCGCAAATACCACAACAACACTGACATTTAATGAATGAAGGCGTATTTAACGCAATTAACGGCAAAACTTAAACAACAAAAACTCCACAACAACAACAATACCACTGACCATAATGCACAACAAACTTTTATTTTAAAACAATAACAACAGCAATAGCGGCAACACAAAGCCAATGAAGCAGCGCTGGCCAATTAAAGTGGCTTCTTGTGTTGCATGAAATTTTTCTGAATTCACGGAGCATTTTTCAACTCTGCACACCCTCATTATTTTATAAAAAGTAGTGTGTGTTTAAAAATTTCCGTTTAATTACGCAACTCGCACGAGCATATGTATTCCCTTTAGCTGAGTTATGCACGTTTGCAAAAAGCTGTTTACATGTATTATTAAGTAAGCGCACATACACATACATTTACAGGAATATGAAATGGCAGTTTATCATAAAGATTTAAAGAATTTAAGTATTAAACTTCGTTAGCTTCGTTTAAAACTCATATGAAAAAAATTTGGTTTCAAAAGGACCTTAAGGACACCTGCTTTGACAAAAGAAATTGGAATTTTTAATCATGACAAATTTTAAAATCGAAAAAAAACTATTGCTCATCAAAACAAATAATCTGGAGGTGTATATATCAAGTGAATACCTTTCATATATGTCTTTGGTAGTGTCTTGCATGATATTCTTTAACAAGCTCTAACAACAAAAACTTTTTCGTCTAATATGGCAGCAGGATCCAAATCGGCATTCCAATTTTTTTAGCATAGTTCACCACCTTTTAAAGAGTATTAGCATTGTTTCAAACCCGTATGAAGAAAAAACGTTTAAAACTTGGCAAGCCCGATTTTTAAGTTTTAAAAAGATCATACGGAATTAGTATTTTATATCACGACAAAATTCAAAATCGCACAAAAATTATTTCTCAGGACGACAGACAGTCTCTAACTGTTTATATTAAGTGAGTATCATTCATATATGACTTTGGTAGTAACTTTCACTCCAATAACCATTGTTTATCCGTCCAATATGGTAGCAGGTTTCAAATCAATATTCCAATATGTTCGATAGCATAGCTCACCACCCTTTTGCAAATTTTTAGTTAGTTTCAAGCCTAAATCAAGGAAATATAATTCAACTTTG